ACCCTGTAACTCTTTTTATGTTACTCTTGCTATCTTACTCTCCATCTGATTCTTCAACTTTGCTCCTTGTTATCAGACTTATTCTAGCTTTCTCCCTTTCTCTATTTCTCTCTCTTTCTTTCTATCTCTCTCTCTCTCTCTCTCTCTCTCTCTCTCTCTCTCCCCTCTCTCTCCCTCTCTCCCTCCCTATCTCCCCCTCTCTCACCCCCTTTCACTTTCTAACACTTTCTCTCTCTCTTTCTCTCCCTCTTTGTCTCTCTCTCTTTCCCATCTCATTTCAACCCCCCCCCCCTACCCCAACCTTCTGTTCATAGACTCAGACTTTAACAAAGCCTTTCCGCATCAAGGAAATTCTCCTTTAAAACTCAACAAGTGAGTAACATTCTCCATTTCAGCAATGTGTCAGTTCTATGACAGGTAGCTCACGCAGAAAAAAGACACTCGTCAATACTGTTCGCATGTGTGAAAAGAGAAAAGTAATACAACCCTCTTTATTGATCTCGTTCATCCCATTACCTGCACTTCTCATTATCCGGTGCTGGTGATACGATTTCCTTCCTCTATGTCTGAGGCTCGCTCCACTTTCTCCCTTTCATACGTTCGCTCTTCTCCGATCCTTATTCTTTTCTCTGTCTGTCTGTCTGTCTGTCTGTCTGTCTGTCTGTCTCTCTATCTGTCTGTCTGTCTGTCTGTCTGTCTCTCTCTCTCTCTCTCTCTCTCTCTCTCTCTCTCTCTCTCTCTCTCTCTCATTCTCTCTATCTTCCTTTTACCCTTCTCACCCTCTTTCATACGTCCCCTCTCTTCCTACTCTGATCCCCATTCTTCTCTCTCTCTCTCTCACTCTCTCTCTCTCTCTCTCTCTCTCTCTCTCTCTCTCTCTCTCTCTTCCTATATTTCGCTCTCTACTCTTTCTCACTGTCTTACGTTCCGTCTGATTTCCCTCCGGGTGTATGTTCCTGTGTGTGTGTGTGTGTGTGTGTGTGTGTGTGTGTGTGTGTGTGTGTGTGTGTGTGTGTTATGTGTGTGTGTGAGAGAGAGAGAGAAAGAGAAAGAGAAAGAGAGAGAGAGAAAGAGAGAGACAGAGAGAGAGACTGAGAGAGTGAGTTCATGCATGTGTGCATTCAGGTGTGTTATAATTAGCGTAGATGTGTGTTTGTGAATGTGTGTGCCTGGTTAAGGAATAAACGCATCAGAAAGTAAAAAGGGGACATTGTAATAAACCCAAACTGATGTTCTTACTCGTCAGAAAAAAAAAGAAATAAAATATTTATTTTTGTTGTCGTTAAAGGCCTTGCACTGTCAGGGGATGACAGAACAAGTGCTCTTTAGTCTCAATGAAATTTCTGGGGATTATTTGTTTTTCTGTTTTCAAATTGTTTCATTATTAGAACTATGTTTACAAATTCCAACAGAGCACTTTAGTTTCGTTTCTTACTCCTGGTTTATTTTATAATTCGTACTTCTTCTTTTCTTTCTAGGCTATAAGAGAGTGGTGACTTTGCTAAATTATAATATCTTGAATCCTGTACTTTTTCTCCTGTTTGCTGTTCTGTTAAGTCCTGTTTAGGTTATTTGTTTATACCGGGCGATTACAACTCAAAGTATTCTATCTATCTATCTATCTATCTATCTATCTATCTATCTATCTATCTATCTATCTATCTATCTATCTATCTATCTATCTATCTATCTATATATCTATCTATCTATCTATCTATCTATATATATATATATATATATATATATATATATATATATATATATATATATATATATATATATATATATGTAATATAATAAATATACGTCAACAGAATACCAGACGTTGAAAGTACTGGCAACAACAGAAGGGCCCGGAGTACGCCCATGACTCGCAAAATTTGACCATAACGTTACTAAACTGTGTGTTATACTATAACTTTTAATTACTTTTTACTTTTTTACTTTTTACTTTTTTCCTTCCTCTGGTATCCTCAGGGTGTCGAGGGAAGGTACACGTTTCGGTCCTGTGCTAGATGTGTAGCGTCTGTGATAGATATGTTATGTTGTTCCAGGACCTTTTTAACCCCTTCCAGCCAGGTCTTTCTTTGAATTTCTCTTATAACGTTTTGTTTGTTTTTTGTTTTTGTAAAGTGTTTTACGGCGCTCACAACTGCATAGGTCATATGAGCGCGCGGGAGACACCTAATATTTTCAGTTGGTAGGAAATTTTGAATTTTGCCCGGGTGGCGGCCGAAGCCTACTCTTATCGATTTTAGACCACCAAGGGATCTTTAACGTGCGCAACTTGTACACGGGCCCTCCGGGATTTTTCGCACTTGTCCGAGAAGGCTAGATCTTTCCCACCAGAAGATCAGGGGTGTGGCAGAAAGACAGCAGTAAGGAGGAGCCAAGGAGTAGCAGTAGAAAGGCTGCAGAAAGAGTCAGGAGCCCAGAGGAGGGGGCAAAGGAGGTGAGGGGGTGGGGGCAGAAAGTGGAAATGAAAGCAGACAATAGAACATTGCTAGAGAGCAGGAAAGGAGGTGAAAGGAGACAATTTTAGAGAAGATATTTTTTTTGGTCGCTACCCGGATTCGAACCCGGGACCTTTTTAACCCCTTCCAGCCAGGTCTTTCTTTGCATTTCTCTTATAACGTTTAATGCCGCAAACATACAATACAAAGCAATAACGATTGCATTACAAAACGCTGTTCGGTTAGAACGGAAGAAACAGTGACAGATATCCAATTATGTTCCCAAGCCTCTAACCTAACGATCGACACTTTCCCTGCCGCAATTATTGTCGAGGAAGGAACACTTTTAGTTTTGGCGAGAGTGTTACCGCACTTGCAACACAATACGGCCAAATAACTGCCGAAGAAAGAAACACAATCATTTTACTTGCCAGGGAAAGAAACACAGTCATGTATGTACTTGCCAGGGATAACGCTGCGTTTTGGCAAAATGGTGACGGTCCCAACAGCTTCCGCTTCCTGTTTCTGCACCGGATGTACTTTAGCGCCCCAGCTGTCGCTGGCGAGAAGGTGGATCTGGTCTGTCATGTTGAGCGTTTTGATCGCCTTCACCACACGTCTGGGGAGAACACGCAAAACAGAAGGAAAATGTGTCCTAGGTCTGGAGATTGACAAGAAGAAAAGAGGGAGAGAGAGACAGAGAGAGAGAGAGAGAGAGAGAGAGAGAGAGAGAGAGACAGAGAGAGAGACAGACAGAGAAAGAGAGAGAGAGAGACAGAGAGGGAGAGAGAGAGAGAGAGAGGGAGAGAGAGATTTGTGTGTATGTGTGTGTGTGTGTGTGAGTGTGTGTGTGTGAGAGAGAGAGTGAGAGTGAGAGAGAGAGAGAGAGAGAGAGAGAGAGAGAGAGAGAGAGAGAGAGAGAGAACCATTAATCTCCCCAAAAAGGCTTGTTTTGTTTGTTTGATTTAAGAGAAGTACATCGACACAATAATGATCATTTTTTTGCTTGGAAAAAGTAATACAGACAGTCGGAAGAAGCAGAGGAAAATGTAAAAAAAAGTAGAACCTACCTACCAGTAGCGCCCTCCAACCACCCGCGGTATGTTTTGTACTCACCTAGAGTTGTCCTCATTGGCAAACATGATGATAGCATTTGCGTTATTCTCCCCTCCCTTGAACAAATTCTCCACCATAGATAGAACCTTCGCGTCGTCAGCTCCCCGCGGAATGCTCTCCGTCCGAGAAATGCAGAGACCTGTGGAAGAAGATTTTTAAAGTATATTAAGTAAGGTTTTTACGACGCTCGCAACTGCGTAAGGTCATTTGAGCGCCAAGAGGTGGATGTCAGCAGAGATGTCCAAACGGGGATTCAGGCTTTCTCTGCTCACCTCTCTAGCATCAACAGCACAAAGTCTGCTTCGACTATCAAGGCACCCCAGAAATAGCAGTTTGCAAGAGAGTGACAAACATACAAAAGAAGTAGAGGAAAATGATGATAGTAAGGATGATGAAAGAAAAACCAGCAGTTCCCCCTAGTTGTTTCGGCAAGGTATAAATAAGCATGACATTGATAAGTCAGCCAATTTATAATTCTACTGTGCCTACGAACATGTATATATTTACCCTTTGGGAATGACCTAAAGGCATTTTAGTCAGTGGCACTGCCCTTGGGGTGTGTGGAAGAAGGCGGTGAAAAAATGGTTAAATGGTACAGGTTCAATGCCCTTATCAACAATATTAGGTGGTTTAAGAAGCAGGACTCCAAATACATCGTGTAATGTTAACCTCCGAAAGGACCGAGCGAAAACACATTTTACACAGATAGCGAGAACTATTTTTCTTGTTTTAGTAAGTGTTTTATGTCACTTGCAACAAAATAAAGTCATATAAGTGCCGAAGATTAGAGGTGTTACAAGTGTGTAACAAACACCAAAAAAAGAAGGAGGGGAGATAAAGACGATAGATGTTCGATAGTAAAGAAGAAGCAAACCACACCAGAGCACCCGCCAATCACCGACATTCTTTTTCTAAAACATGTATGTTCAAATTTATCTCCCCGTGAGATATAAAAAGATCTTTAATTAGACGTGTGAGAACTTGGATCCTCACAAGTCCCCCCAGGCAGAGAGAGAACATTTTAAGAAAGATGAGAATAATTCTGATCATACCAAGATTAGAACGTTTTTTTATTTCTTGTTTATGAAATAAATAATCGGCGTCACCTTTATATTCAACACAGAAAAGATGTGATTACTGGTTTTCTTTTTCTGTTATTTGTGGTGTGTGGTGAGGCTATTTTTGTGATGACTGCGATACGTTTTCTTTATGGTCATTTGCGTTCTTTAATCATCTATGTTGAAGATTGGCAGCCAACGAAATGTAGTATTTAATACTCATAATCTCACGGACCGAGAATTAATCAACAAAAAATAAGTGCTCCAAAAGGCAGATTGTGAAAGATCTATTATCAGAACCACCACAAAAAGACAATTGAGATTATTTGGCAATACAAATAGATCAAATAAATGGACTAGAGGGTGCTTCTGTGTTAAAAGATACGGGAAATAAGAGCAGAGGAAGACAGAGACACACATACACAGATGGCCAGAACAACTTTGTAACAAATAACACAGTGAGAAAAACTGAGCTAATCAGGAAGACAGACCATAGGGAGGAGTGGGATACCATAATTGTAAATGTCAGTTGCAGACCTGACAGCTAAGGAAAAAGAATTTATCTATGTTGGGACAGGCTTGAAATAGGGAACAGTTGTCTGAACATTTTCAACATCAATACAAAACCTGGCTGGCTCATCGACATACAAACGTACCGGTACACAAACCGACAGAGTTAGCTTTTTATTTTTATTTTAGGTTTTAAGAGTTATTCAGCACTTGCAACAAAATTAGGTCATATAAGTGTCGATAATCAAAGGTGTTGCAAGAGAGTAACATACTAAAAAGAAGGAGGAGAAATAAGGACAATACATTTGATACGAATGAAGGAGCAAACCTCACCAGAGCACCCGCCTATCACCCACATTGCTAGCTGATCCTTGCCACAAAATCCTCGCTCCTTTTATAGATGCTGTTGGTTTTTGTGTGTGAAAGTTTAACGCCATACTGCCCACACAGGGTAATTTAGCAGACGGCTCACGTTAAGCCCAATAGCCCTCGAGCCACATGCAGTTAATCAAGTGTCTTGATAAGCTCCGCATTCACATCCAGATGTAACCAATCTGTCCAGCAATCTGGATGAGCCCGGAATGTGATAATGTCAAGCATTGAAACTAGCAAGTATCTATCGTATCTCTCAGACGGACATTTTTTGTTCAGTATTCCCTCTGCCTAAAGAACGACCCTGCCGAAGTGAAATCCAGGCTCATCAATAGCATATTCATACTAACCTTAACATACCAGTGCCAAACATGGCCTCTAAACAAGACACAAGAAAGAAAAGTCAATGCATGCGAAATGAGGTGTCTCCGCAAAACCATCAACGTCACCAGAAGAGACCGCATAAGAAACGAAACCATACGTCTACAAACCGGAATACCAGCAGTAATAAAATTAATGGAGCGTCAAAGAGTCAAATGGTTAGGACATCTAACCAGATTGCCCCAGAAACAACTAGCGGCTTGAGCTTACAACAGCCGAAAACCCTGCTTCAGATCCAGAGGAAGACCAAGAAAAACCAGATTGGATGGGGTTAAAAAGGTCCTGGAACGAAAGACATATCTATCACTAAGACGCTTTACGTCTAGCACTGGACCGAAACTTGCACCTCCCCACGACATCCTACGGATACCACAGGAAGGAAAAAGGAAAAGTAAGTAAGTATTCCCCCGGCGGGGCAAACAACGTCTCCTAGCCACGGTGCATGTCCTGGTGTCTCGTCATACTTGAGCGGTTTCTTTAATTGTTGTTTTGTTTATATCTGTTTGCTGTTTTTGTTTGTTTTTAATGTAGTGAGTGTTTCGGTGGGGGTGGGGACTGGGGTGGGGGTGGAGAAAGAAGATCGAAGGAACCGACGAAGGAAGTCTATCCAATAATGTTGGCGTTTGCAGCAAACCTGTTAGGTTTTTGGCCTTTCTAGCAAAGAACAAGCGCTCGATTGATTTCAAGACATGAAACATGGGTGGTAGGTGGTTGCTTTTCTGGTGTAATTTCCCCTTTCTTTCCCACCAAACGTCTGTCGTCCTTATCTCAACTGTTTCAATTTTGCGTTTGTTATTTTTTTGTAACACCGCCAGTCTTCGACACTTATAAGACTTATGAAAAACTCTTACTAAAACTACAAACTAAGCTAAGGACACGAAACTAAGTCGGGTTTCATCATCGGGACACTCAACATGAATTTTCGTCTAGATGCGGTCATTAAACCTTCACCTACAACAAGTAACACATGAACCATAAAGACGGTTCAATTGGCATAATTCTAACGCTGCTATCAACAGTCTTGGGTTATTTAAAAGGCAGGACCACCAAGTTAAACATCCATCTCCGAAAGGACGGGGCCAAATTGGAAATTTCTGTAAAGTGCCGTTCCCAAGGACACAATGTTGGATCGAGCTAAGGGTCGAACCTCTAACCCGCAATATAACAAGTACAGGGCGGGTAGCCTAACCACTAAGCCACCGACGCCACACACCTGAACAAAAGGATCAAAGGATACCAAATTGTGTCTCGCAAACGTCACCTTATTGACTATACGGACATTGTACTGTTCCCCGCAAGGCTCAAAACTTAAAGACACTGTCTGGGCTTTGAGAACTAGACTTTTAAAACTGAGAACTTCTCGAATTAACGAGCTTTGCTTCAACACCCTCTTCTTTCGCCTTTGGCAGCTTGATGGGTGCCTTCGAACTTTTCGAGGCGTATTTGTGTGAGGAAATCGATTGGCATTCGGTTCCTTTGCTTCCTGAAAATGAAGTGCTAGTAATTCATTTGGAGCTCAATTCTACTGGGTGTATTTTAATGATAAAGTTAAAAGCAACAAGGGGTAACAAAGAGTTATAGGCTACCGGACCTGTACTTGTTATATTGCGGGTGAATATGGTAACAAATTAAGAACTGGGGGTCGTATTATTTATTTTCTCAATTTGAGATAGGACGTCTAAGATCTGCTTTTATGCCTGTCTCACTTACCGTGCTGATAAAACGATTACCAGTACTTGCTCGGTGTTATGTATATCATTCATGTAAACTTTACAGCAGGCGTGGTTATGGAATGGTGCGGTCCCTAAGGCTCGATCAAGCACAGAATGACAGGATAGAGTTCCTCATTAATTTTTTAATAACATCATTTCGAGATAATGTTATGAATTCCTGCACTCCGTTGGCTCAGTTAGTAAAATGCTGGATTACAGTGCGAATGGCTATGGTTAGAGTCATAGACTGGGCGTTCTTGAACTCCGGTTATTTTGTCGTTTTCAAGACTCTCAACTCATACACATTACCTATAAATTCCGACGCACTGCTCCTTAAATAACCTAAGAGTGATGATAGGAACGTTGGCCTATTTACTCCTTTTTTTGTTACGAAATCAATAAAGGTAAATGTTGTTAACATAGTTTTCATTAACTGATTAATCTGAAAAGAAACGGTACAAGTTTCCTTTTGTTTCCTTTGAAATTACTGTCTAGGACACAATGACGAAATGTTCGGTAAGTGAACTAACAAATTGCCTTTCTACTGAAAAACTTTTTTGAAATCATTCGTATACAGCAGAAAACCCTCCTTCCTGTAATGATGATGAGTATATAACCTTGTGGAGACTATTGATTAACTTTGAATCTTCCCTGCTTTCTCGAAAACGTCTCTGGGTTCATTCCTACATTTTCCAACCCTTTTAGCTTTATTAATTCTTAGAAGTAAGTAACGTATCTTCTTATAAGCTGAATCCAAAGCGGGTATTTTTTTCCATTTACTTGAAAAAATCCGAGACCATTTCTACCTTGCAGGAAGTTTCATCTTCATAAATGCTTGGCGTGGGAACCTCTCACAGGCTATGATTTCTCAGCAGTTTGAAGATAACATTTAATGTTAAAAATGTAGATATTGTGTACGCACTCAACGAGTAAATTTCGCTCATCTAGGAGGCAGGTTTCTGACCCTGCCTGTTTTTCCCAATCCCGGGCAAGAGGAATACAACATCCCAGTAGAACGACTTAGATACTCGATAAAAATCTACTAATACGGGGTGCCCACTACGGATGGGATCGGCTGATTGGGCCGAACGCCCGACTCGTTCGCC